GGTAGTCGGGTATACCCCTATCCCTGTTTGGTCGGAAAAAGTTGTGTCTCAGAGTAAAGACAATACGGCGGAGGGGGAGATGGAGGTGGAGGAGCAACCGGCTGAATCTCTGCCGCTACCTGAACGTAGGTTGTTGGTATCTTCATGGCTCCCCCTCATGTGATGGTCTTTAGTGGCGCCGGCTCCAGCAGTGGTCCGTACTGACTACCATCGTAAGCCTAAGCGTGCGGTAGAGTCTAGTGAGGATGAGAATAGACTGGTAGTAGGCCGTTGGCTGTGGTTTAGGGGGGGCCTTTTGATGCTGGTCTTGGTATATAATGCTCGGTGGATTTTCGGTATGGTGGGAGTTCACTGTCGCATATAGACCTGATATAGGCTGTTACATTGAAATCTATTATATGAAGAAATGCCGCAATATTGGTGCCTCAGCTTATACGTATCGTAAAATGCTGCGTGCCTCCTATGGCGCTCGTTGGTGGATGGGGAGGGGTGTGATTGGAAATTGTTTTCAGGTTAAATGTCCGATCACAGGGCAGATGGTGAGGGCCAGCGAGCTGTCGGAGCATCTACGAGTGGTGTTGTTGGACCCGAAGTGGAAGGAACAGAAGGAGAAGGTGAGGCCTTCCCCGAGTTGGAATATAATGAGCTCATTAGTGATTATGAGAATTTATACGCAAATTCGGGTAGAAGGAAAGAGAAGGTAATTTAAGAATTTCCTTAAAATTTTCATATTTTCACCAACACATGTTGTTGAATATGTGCATATTTCTCCCTCTCCTTGGGGTCGTCGTGGAGGGCGATGGGGTTGTCTGCAGGTACTGGATAGGGCGAGACAAGACACCAACTATGATCAAGTTAATATCGAAACTAATCTTGCCAGCTTTATTATAAAGAGACCTGATCTGTTCGGGACGGTTGAGGAAGAAATTGAGCACCAGGTATTACGGGGGAATATGTTTCTAGTGGTTGGAGAAAAATTTGGATTTTTAATTTCCGATTTTTGCAGTGTTGTCGTCGGCTAGGCGTCGGCTAAGGCGTGGTAATACGTTGTTATTAACTTCGTGGGTACAGTGGAAAATATTTTTGTTTGATTTTCGCAGATAGTGTTGTTGGTTGGGCTTTCAATAAGGCATAGTAGACTACTCATGGAGTAAATAACAACATACTACTATTAGTCGTATGTTGTTATTAACTCCATAAGAAGTGGAGAAAAATTCAGATTTCTTTCGATTTTTGCAGACTGTGTTGTTGTCGTTGTTTAGGCTTCGGTGGCTGCTGAGCAGTCTATGATGACGGCCTCCTATGATGCTGGTCCGCAGGCTAGTAATGTGACAGATGCGGCGAACCAGATGCCGGGGCTCTTTGGGATGAGAGCTCCTATGCCGGGTAGAGTTGTTGGAGGTGCGGTATGTGTTATGTGTGGTTGTTAGGCATGCCGCCGTTACCGCCTCAGAGGTCTATGCCTCCGATACCGGCATCCCAGCAGCCCCCTGTAAAGAAGGCGAAGAAGTGAGGAGGAAGAAGGGAGGGAGCGGTTACTATGTTAAATCAGAAGTATCAGGGGAAATGGGGTCTTTGAGTTTAGTGTTAATTATGGTTTGTCACGCGCCACGAAATTAGGAGGATGCCGTATAATGACTCTCAAGGCGGTTACGGTGGGTCGGGGAAGTGGCATTCAGTAGAGAGTAGTGAAGGTAGAGGGGGTAAGGGGAAAGGGAAGAAGGGCGGCAAAGGTAGGGCCCTTAGTAGATCAGAGTTGGCGGAGGTGTGGTATAGGTAAAGGCGTACCGAAAAGAAGACCGATGCGCTCAGGAGATGTGAGATATAATAAAAGCTTCCAAAGCGAGTGCAATACTAATTCGGAGATAGTGGTGCCCCCTCCTCCAGAGACGCAGATGTAGGCTTCGGTTGTTGCTGTTGGTGTGGTATGGTGATTTATTTAATTTTGTATTTTATCATTGATGGCTACAATAAAGTATGAGGAATGAGTAGAGGAATATGAATTTATTGGTGTAGGTATAGACTCTTATGAACTAGTGTTGGAGGAATATATGTTCGCTTTCCTCAGCTGGGCTCAGGAGTTTGCTCATTAGATATAGAGGTTCACATACGGTTTAGGGTAGAAGTATACATATGTTCGCTTTCCTCAGCTAGTTTCAGGAGTTTGCTGGTTAGATATAGAGGTTCACATACGGCTTTAGGTAGAAGTATATATATGTTCGCTTTTTTTAGCTGAGCTCGGGAGTTGCCTCACTAATTATAGGAGTTCACATACGAGTTAGGGTAGAGATGTACAGAAACCAATAGAAATTTCCCTAAAATTTTTCCAGAATTTTCATCTATGCATTTGACCATTTGCATATTTTCCTGTTCTGTTGCGCGATGGGTTTTTTTGTGTTGTCATTCAGATTCTGGGATGCCCACTGCCACTTAGACTGGATTATGCTCAAGTCTCGTATGGGGAGGGCTATAAACCATAACAGAATAGCCGTCAGGATGGACCTACAACTGCCCAAGTTGGAAGCCTTCGCTGTTGATAACTTTGGAGAGAGCTTTGGAGGCTGTGTTATTGCAGGCTTTGGACTGTAAGGACATTGGGTGTTGGATCTACTACGGGGTGCTCCGAAAAATGTCCCAGAAAGATGTTGGCGAACGCTTTCCAGTGGTATCTATGGACTCCAGAGAGATGTGGGCTGATGAGCTGTCTCTCACCGAGAAATTCGGTGAACTCGGCAAGCCAGTAGCAAATGTTGAATGGGACGATCGAGTGGCGTGCTCGGAAATTGGGAAAAATTGAGAAATTATTTTCTTACTCATAGCTGGCTAAGAAATCTCCCGTTGAGGAGATTGGTTGTTTTAGGGGTAAGGAGTTCAAGTCTGTTCGAGGGGGGTTGAATATACATGAATTGTCTCTTTTTGTGTTGTACAGGTCAACAGTGCATTCTACTATCGAGATATTGGAGTACTCTGATACGTCCAATTTTCTGAGGGATAAAGTCTTTGGCGCTTTCGGCTGCCATCCGCATTGTTGCGAGGAGTAAGTTGACACTTTGTTAAGTTTATGAGGCTTCGACTTTGAGTCTGGTGTTGGTATATACGTTTGCTTATCTCAGCTGAGCTCAAAAATTTCCTCACTACATTATGAAAATTGCGGGTAGAAGTGTACGACGGAATTTTAACACTCTTCCTAACGAGCGTAGTTGACCATGTGGGCATTTTCTCATACACCGAGTCATTTAGGTCTGTGTTCGTCCAGGTATAGTGAGGAGTTTGAACATGCTATTGTGGATGCAACAGGGCATCGTCGAGCAGTGGCTCTAGGAGAGTGTGGCCTTGATTACTTTGGAGGAGGTGGTAATGTTGATAGGAATCTCCAGAAGAAGGTGAGCACGAATGGTCTCTCATATGGTTGGTGCCTCTATAAGGACTCAGGTCTTCGCCCGGCAGCTCTGTCTGCAGCCTGTGAAGGATGGTATCCCGGTCGTACTGCATCTTCGCTGTGCGGAGAAAGATTCTTTCGAGATCATGAAGAAGCACCTCCCGAGAGAGCACCCGTGAGATGTCGCACAGAGAAGAATATCTGCCGTGGCCTTGAAGCTCCTGTGCGTGGTTTCAGCATACACGTTCATTGCTTCTCGGATTCGCCAAGATTTCTGCGAGCCATCGCGACGGACTTCCCCAACGCTTACTTCGGTTACGCTGGGGTAGTGTCATTCGTTAACAACCGTGATTTGCAGGAAAGTGTGCGAATGTGAGTACTGCCGAGCTCGAATGTGAGGATGGTTTGTTTTCAGAACTCCACTTGATCGTCTGGTGTTGGAGACAGACGGGCCGTATTTGGCCCCTGAGCCCTTCAGAGGTAGCAAGAGGTGAGCTATTGTAGTGCAGTAGCGATCAGGCAATGTGGCGCACTGTGGGATGATACCAGTTGTGGCGCAGCACATTGCGAAGATCAAAGGCATCACCGATGTACGCAGGGATGGCCTTGAATGCTCGAGGAATTGCTGTCGAGGAATAGGGGTGCTCGTTTGTGTATCACATGAAGCATACAGACGAAAAGTGACCCGAGGTTGATCTGGAAAGTGTAGATATGGAAAATCTGAGCGATGGTAGACTTGTAAATTCGTAGGGAAGATTTCGAAATGCTCAAGTCTCGTCGGGCAGCTATAATTTCTCATCACGAGAATAGAGCCTTGGACATTCGCCTTTGGTGACATGTTAGTTCACACAGTGATCCCGTGCTATCTCTTGTGGATTTCTTTTTCAACGCGGACGATTTTTCGATTATCGAGGACAGATCGAATTCAGTGACTCACATCAAAGAAAATAATTTTCAAAATTCACGTTAAGTGACTCAGATCAGTTTCGGGTAATTTTTCATTCGGTTGCTGCTGCTGCAAGGTCTGTTGTTGTTATTGAGAATGTCTTAGGTGGATGGGATGATTATAAAGTGTACAGAAAATACGAGAAAACTATATCGAATTGATGACACTATACGTAACTGAGGAATTACGATAATTATCATATGCTTCACATCCTGATGATGTTGCTTCCGTGTTGGTCGTGAGGGGGGACTTCCTGTTATAGTAGTATGGCAGAAGAGGAGGAGACCAATGCCCGGCAGGCAGCCTCGGTGTATGAGCTGTGTATGAAATTGGGTCATCAACTTGACGATGTACGGGATCGAGCTGTGAGGGCCCTGATGACTAAGACCAATACTGGGCTTATCAGTCCAATAACTGTCGCACGTGAGCTCGGGGGGGCCCTGGTAGTTGGTGTTGGATGGGCCTTCACTTCAGGAGTTGTCGAGTTCCCCCAGCTGGCACTGCATTGGCTCAATGATCGACATAAGAAGGCCAATATGGATCTAGTTAAAGCGTTTATTAGATTCTATACAGGAGTTGTGGCCACGTGTGTTGCGGAGAATACTCATATACGAGAGAGGTGAGTGAGCATGCGGACTCGGTTCGTGGTGAACGAAAGCATTACAGTTCACCTATAGAGGTGCTTGACAGGTTTATTTCGAGCGGAGCGATAGAGTTTTTCGAGGATTTTCGAGGCTTTGAAGCTCGGTAAGAGTCCCCTTGCACCACTAACTGATGGTGGTTTGGAGATACGCTGAGGAGATTGATGCTGCGCTGTCGTGTCTGCTGAGCCAGACGGGCCCATCGTCATCGGGCCCGATAGTCCAGCGCCCACCTAAGGACCCCCCACTGCCACCCGGTCATGCTGCTGAGCAAGCGAAGGCTGCCAGAGCACAGCCGAGTTGGCTACAGCTCGTGTCGGTCTCTAGTGCTGGTAAGAAGGCTTGGGTTGAGGTTTTCCTGTATAGCCGTGCGTTGGTCACGTGCCTCAGACGAGAGAAGACTCTTTGAAGCGTCTTGTAGGATCAAATATTCAAGTGTTGGTCGCAGCAAGAGAATAGCAGCTCTCCAAGAGGTACGCCAAAGTGTCGATGATAAGACTCTCCTCGATTCAGGTCCGATATGTTATGGTCTACGACTACCCTGTAGAAGTATTCTTTAGCCATCAGGGTTTGCTCGTAGTGGAGGCCTTGTTGACAGCGCTATCGGATGAGATCGATCGAGTAGGGATGACTTTCGACGGAGGGTTGTATTCTCCCAACGGCTGAGGAAGGAAGTTTCTTCCATATGAGCTGGACCGGTGTATTCTATCGTGTTTAGGAGGGTGTTGGTGAAGAGGAGCAGGACGACCTCATAAGTAGGCTCATCGCGGAGTCTCTCAATGCAGTACTTTTTGGACTGATGAAGAAGCTGGAACACAACGAGAAGTAGTGCCGAGTCTCTGCCGTTCAGACTGGTGCAAAGAGTTCAGAGTTATACACGTCTATTTGTTGGAGTAGTAATACCGTTGATCAGATTACCCCTGTCGCCGTGTGTCGGGAGCATCCATGCCGTATTGCTGGCCTTGGTCAATACCATTACTCGATGTTCCTCGACGGAGCCACTCACGTCGCTCAATGAGACTGCCAAGACGGCTCTTCAAGTTCTCACTCGGGGCTTAGAAAAGGATGGGAAGTAGGTCAACCTCGGCCTACTTGAACTTGAACTCCTCTTCTCACTATAGGCGATATCTCACTGATCTGGGCCTCCCTAGAGAGGAGGTTCTCAAGTACTTGGACCTTGTTGCTGATGCTCTGGCCAGGTATTTCTGTCCATCGGAGTACTATGAGGTAGGATGCCTGGCAGTGTTGGTATGTATGTTCACTTTCCTCACCTGTGCTCAGGAGTTTCCTTACTAATCATGGGAGTTTATATTCGCATTAGGGTGGAGTTGTACGGAAATCAATAAGAATCCTCCAAATTTTCCTCTCAGAATTTTCACCAACATATGTGGTTGACCATGCATATTTCCCCACACAGGCATTGCCTGATGGCTGGCCTGGAAGTTGTGATGTTTCCGCAGGCCTCGTCATCGCTGCGTTTGGTGCGATGTTGGTCACCGCCGAGGCTGGCTGTGTTCGACTTGTGTTCTGAGCTGCTAGTGCTCTCGAGGGATGTTTTAATGCAGAGGAAGATGAATGACAGACTGACGGAGCATCTCATCAGTTGGTCTATGGTGAGTGGAGACCTGTCACATGCATGTCAACACTGACGCCTGTGTAGGATACCCAGCTCTACCATCACAGGGCTGAGGCTGTGGAGAAGCTAGCGGCATTAGTTCTGCAGGGGCTCTCTGTGCGCGCCTATCAGGACTTCCGTGCCTTGCAGTCCTCCTCTGAGCTTGACGTGTCATCAGACAGAGTAAAGGCAGCTGGTCTATTGAAAGGCATGGGGGTGGAGCCGGACGAGTATCATTGGGGTGGTGACTGCTATGCAGCGGTGGAGTTGCGGTATGCTATGATGGACGTGCCTGAGGCGCATCGATTGGCTTATGAGAGGAAGTTGGACGTCCTGCTAGCATCTCGGCCTCCTATGGAGATCACAGGAGCATCTTCGAGGACGGCAGAGTTGGTCTATGGTCAGTACGGCATGACACTCCGACATGCATTTGTTGTGGGTGGGCATAAATTGCGAGGAAAGGTGGTTGAAGCGATGCAGAGTATCATCATTGCTATCGACACTCGTAGGCAACTAGCACTGTTACCGGAAGGCTTCGTTCTGAACATGCTCACTATAGCATGTAGTGGTGTGGAGCTGAGCTCCTTCAGACCGTCGTTGTGGTCACCATTCGTCCTACTACTCCTCCAAAGTGATGGGCTTCGTGAGCTTACCTTGCATTCTGTAAGACTGCTCTGTGCGATGGTGGTCCATCTCGGTCCGAACGTTCTCAGTAGAGATATTCTCGAGCTCGGTGTTGTTCCCTACATCATAAGGCCGATGGTCAACTCGGGCACGGCTTATCACTTTATGCTCGCTGGCTCGCTCTGGCTTCTGGGTACGGCAAAAGCTCATGCGCGGGAGCTCCGGGATGTTCTGGTTCCTCTCACACACACTGGGAATGTAATCGTGGTCCGACAGCTGACCTGGCGGGTCCTTGGTGATTACTATTCGGACGAATTGGAGGAGAGAATCCTCGGCTGTGCGTTAGATGAGGATAGTGCGGTGGCGGTGAGAATGGAATGTTTGAGGATTATCGCGATGAATATGACTCCGGTGATTGCTGCTGAAATTGCGAAGAAGTTGCCGTGCATAGTGAAGGAGAGGGGACGGGTGGTAGACGGAGCGATGCGGGAAGCGGCAGTGGAAGTGATGGGCGCGATAGAGGATGGGGAATCTTTGAAGATTTTAGCTGCAGAGTTGACGAAGATGAATCTTTGGAGTGCGGTGATCGACTCGGGAAGGTGAGTGGAGCCGACGATAACAAGGTTGGGTGTTCGGCCTTTGTCTTAGTCCATCTAGTGTGTGGAGTCTGGTCTCACGATGCATGGAAAACGACGCTGAGCTGTTGGCATATCTTAGTATGCATACCACACTTTTCGGAACTTCTCACGGCATGCCGTTGTGTGGTCCGATGCTTCAAGTAAGCTCCCACTGGCTCTAAACTGTGGGGCCGATATCTTATATTCATCCATACGTGGTTGAGATGGAGGAGTGTCTTATGTATTGCGTACATTGCGAGCTCAGCTTGGCACACGACGTGGTGCAGAAGCGTTGAGACCAGCAATGCTTTGGATGGGCTGCCAAGGAGAATGCATGGCTCAATGGGTCAGGGAGTGGTGAGAAGGGATGGGGTATAGACCATGTTAGACATATCTCGCTATGTTCGTAATGGCCCGGAGGGTATATTCATGTCACTCCTCCTTGAGTTCAGCTATGGAGGCGTTCGCCTTGTCGCCCTTCACACTGCACTTTCAGGGTGTCACCATGTTTAGCGACGAGTGAAGTATCGTTACGCCTCCCTTGGAAGGCCACATTGGCTCTTGCTTCGATAAGCTGTATAGGTGACTGTATAAATCAGTAAGGTCGTAGTGGATCTCTGCTAGGTTCGGCTCTGCTGGAGCTGAGTTTCTGTTGTCAGGTTTCAGAGTCTGAGACGTGAAATTCAGACTATGCAAGGGGAGATAGTCCCGGTAGTGGCCGAGTTGGACTTCAGCGCGCCAGTGCGCGAGGTAGCGCCCTCACATGGCCATCGTAGCTGTAGCCTAGCCATTTGTCAGTTGCTGGAGTGCTTCCGTCCTGAGCACATCTCTAGTGCTGCATGTGATGTCGCTATTGCTATCAAGTCGATACTGACACCCTCTGCTTCAACGGTGAGATGCTTGACTGGGCCTCCAACTCATGTCGTTCTCTCTCAGGACTCTGCTGTAGCCAACACCATTCTTGGTCGGATCTCGAAGGCGCTATCAGAAGTTATCACCGGCTTGCAGTCCGCTGGCACCCCTAGGGAAAGATCCTCTGAGACATATCGTTTTGTAGCTACGTTAACGCAGCTACTGGGCAGAATCGCCACGGTAACGAGGCGAGCGGTGTATCGTGTTAATGGTAGCTCTGTGATGAGATGTAAAACTAGTTTGCGCGATGTGGTATTCATTATAACATATAAAAGAGAGTGTATAAACGAAGTTTGAGACTAAAGCTCATCGTTGCTGGACAGTTTTGTACTCTCTAGATTGCACGTACTGTATTCAGAATGGGCATGCGTGCAGAAATTGGCTACATATCCCAAGTGGTGTCGCGTATGATCAGATGCACCCTATACTAAGTCTCGAAGGAGAGGCCCCGCCATTCGTGAGGGCCTTCAAGATGGTTTGGTTGGCGTCTACTTCTGAACGGAAGCCTCCAACAGAGCTGAGCAGCGAAGAGCTCACCGCCGTCCTTCTAGATTTACTGGGTATTCATTATCATCGAGTTCAGCGTTGTTCGGGCAACCGTTGACTTCAGTTACTCTCATAGACGTCAATAGGACTCTCACCGCTATCCCGGACCTGCTAGCCAGGAGTGGTCTCCTCTCCCTCGTCCTATCGCTTGCCACTCGTGCTGATGTCCCCACTGCATTATTGGCGCGATGCTGTGATGTCATATCGCTTGCAAAGAGGTACGGAGCATCGGCGGGCTAGTTGCTGATGAGTCCGAGCCAGGTCACTCATGAATCGGAGTATATTAGGGAAAGTTATGAGTGCCATTATTGATGCTCATGTGAAGTCTGCCCTCATCCTTCGATCGACAGGTGGGGAAGCTGTCACCACCGCTGTCACCAGGGCAACAGTGGTCTTCGATCTCGTCACAGGTGAGGAGAAGGAGGAGGAGGCTGCATACTCCTTACAGGCGCTCTTGTTTGTTCGGATTGTTAGACGTAGCGGCATGCCAGCAGACTGCAGCGAGAGTGGGCCCTCGGCTAGTGGAAGAGGGCTGGATAGAGATGCTCCAACCCATACCCAATGCACGACATGCAATAACGCCGACTCTGCAGAACTCTATAGGCCGTATGGTCTTGGCCTTATGTGAGTTAATAATGCTGCCGAGATGAGTTAGCTATAAGCACGTCTGAGCCCATGTCCGGTGCCTCGTCGAACTATCACGGCCTCGGAATCGTGTGTGGAGACTCTATGGCGACGAGCCGTTGAGAAGGAGGATGCTCTTGCCTTCATCGCTATGGCAGTTCTATCGTGCCACACGTCAAAGATGAGTGGTGAGGTTATTCAAAAGATATCGAATAGCCGAGGAAGTGTGGTCAGGTATGATGACAAGTCTGGTGGAAACCAAGCGTGAGGACGGCTCTGACAGTCATGCAGCAGCTCTCCACGGAAATCTTATGCATGCCATATGTTTGCAATTTCGGGAGGATTCAGAATTTAGACCATACCGAGTATAATCTCTCGAATGAGGTGTTGCGTTGGACAACGAAGTGAGAGCGCAGGGATTCACTCATCGAGGGAAGATTGTACGCTGCACTGAAAGACGCGCACCTTGTGACGGTCCTGCATAAAACAATGTAGATACGGCTCTTGTTGCGCCGAACAAGAATTTACTATAAAATGTGATACTTCCCGCATAAAAGTATTTCTATGCCACTCATGCAACGGAAACACGTTCCTTGAGGGGCGTTGACGTGACGTCTCTAATAAGCGAGTGTTGTGGATCCAGTTTGTCTGCACCCTTGACAAGGGTGCAGGGTCCCTTGTTATCTCATCAACTCTTCGCCTTCCTCATTATAGCTAATGGGCCCGATATCGATTACTGTGCTGCTAAGTGCGTGTATTCGTAAAGAGCTTAAGTGCAGGTAGTGCACTCATCGGTATTGTCCTAGGGTCGTAATGTTGGTTGCTCTAGCTCGAGCTCCCTTGTTGTGTTGTTCTTAGATTTCATCAACCGATACACCGACACGAGGAGACGCGTCAGACCATGGAGTCCCTACCGGACGCTTCACGCTTCACGGCGTCACGTGACGACAATCATCGCCACGTGACGCCGTGAACTCGCTCTCCTACCTTCAACTTTCGCTGCATTTCGCGCAATATCAAACCATTATGCGTTCCACTATCCTGGCAGTCGTCGCGCTTATCATAGTTGCCGCTGGTATCAAAGGGGGTAATCACGAAGATAGTCTACCCATGATTCAGCGTAGACTTGGGGGGAGCAACCCTTTTTCTGGTGGATGCTCTGATTGTCCGGACGGTGACTGCTATTGCGTTACCTGGAATTGCTTTTGCAATAAAAAGCAATGAGATATCTCCTATATCTCATCTATCTTTCTGATATCTTATCTTATCTCTCTTCCATCTTATCTCTCATCTTTGTCTTATCGTTTTTCTATCGCAGTATTGTTCTCAGTGTTGGTAATCCCCTTGTTGTGATGACTTATCGCTCGGGGCTTGACAACAATAATGTGATGATGACTGCTTCAGCCTTTACAACTCTGCTGTAGTTGTCACTTATTCCGACGAGGATTCGTGATTGATCCTGTCAACTCTCCTCGCTTGTATACCATTATCAGACTTATTGAGAAACAGTCGAGAACTTATGAGATTACAAGAGATGTCTGTGACGCGCTCGATATTTGGTTCTGATCTGTGACGTAGGAAGTCCGTATTTCTGCCGCTCGTTACATTTCGAGTATCTTACGTACTTCAGGGGGTCTTCTTTGGATCTTAATTTCCGGTCTATTCTTCCACTATTACTTCGATATGGATATGAGTCTTAGTAGAGAAAACGATGTTGGGTTGCACGCGAGTCCGTCGTCGATAGCTTCTAATGAAGAGTCTGCAGGGGAGGAAACCGTGTCGCTACACCCCTCGCACTTATCGAGTTTTCACAACTGCTTCCCACACTCTCCCATCATACTTGCGTTATACACTAATAGTGTAACACTATCATATTCTTGAAAGAAGCTCATCTTGAACGTTAATCGAGAATGAGGTTACTGCCGACAGTCAGCGGTGAGCTCATTCTCGATGATCACCGACCCAGTCCCTTGAATCTTCCCTGAGGAACGTTTTCTGATAGGGGTAGAAAGCTCTAACGAGAAATCCTCTCGTGGAAACCCATGAACTGTTCCAATGATTACCTTGGCTTGACAACCATGGACGAACAGACCCTCCTGGTCTCAAATATTCACGACGCAAAGTCCCACTGGACGTATGTTCGAAGACAGAAGCCCAAAGAGCGATATGGAGATCCTCCTCATTTCTCGAGTCAGATATCTTCGCTTCAAAGGGTTCATCTTCGCTGTAGCCCAACGTAGTAAAATTTATTCCAGGCAGAGGGCCAATCGGACGAATATCATCTCCTCCACCCAGGCTTAAGCGTTGTTCTCTTGTATAATCTTAAAGCATTTGACGGTCCTGCATAAAACAATGTAGATACGGCTCTTGTTGAGCCGAACAAGAATTTACTGTAAAATGTGAGACTTCCCCCATAAAAGTATTTCTATGTCAGTCATGCAACGGAAACACGTTCCTTGAGGGACGTTGACGTGACGTCTCTGATAAGCGAGGAGACGCGCCACAGACGATGGAGTCTCGTTCATCGCCACGTGACGCCGTGAACTCATTCTTCCAACTTCAGCTTTCGCTGCTTTCCTTATATCAAACCATTATGCGTTCCATTATCCTGGCAATCGTCGCGCTCATCATAGTTGCCGCTGGTATCAAAGAGGATAATAACGAAGATAGTCTACCCATGATTCAGCGTAGACTAAAATCCAATCCTGTTGCTGGCGGGTGCGCCAAATGCTCGGCCGATGAGTGCTATTGCGTTACCTTCAATTGCTTTTGCTATAAAAAGCCACTGTAGATCTTTTACCTGAGTTACTCATCTTCAGCGAGTTTTCTATCGCACTATTATTCTCAGTATTCGTAATCTACTTGCACTTTTCGACTTTTCCCAACCGTTTTCTACACTCTCCCATCATACTTGCGTTATACCCTATCAAATTCTTGGAAGAAGCTCACCTTGAACAGTTAGTCGATAATGAGGTCACTGCCGACAGTCAGCGGTGAGCTCATTCTCGATGGTCACCGACACAGTCGGTGGCTGACAGCAGTGGCTGGCAGCCACTGTCCTCTGAATCGTTACTGAGGAAAGTTTTCTGATAGGGGTAGAAAGCTCTAACGACTCGTTCTCGTTAGTAACGAGAAAACCCCTCGTGGAAACCCATGAACTGTTCCAATGATTACCTTGGCTTGACAACCATAGACGAACAGATCCCCCTGGTCTCAAATATTCACGACGCAAAGTCCCACTGGAATCCAGTGACTGGATGTAGCTTCGAAGACGGAAGCCCAAAGAGCGATATGAAAATCCTCCTCATTTCTCAAGTCAGATATCTTCGCTTCAAAGGGTTCATCTTCGCTGTAATCCAGCTTAGCCACATTTATTCCACGCAGTAGGCAAGTCGGACGAATATCATCTCATACATCCAGGTTCAAGCATAGATCTTCTTTATACTCCTAAAGCACTCTTCGACAATGCAAAATCACTACCACTATCATCGACTTTGTAACAAGAACTCGAAGTACATGCTGTATCGTATTAGAGGAAACTTCTGGCTACACGAATGATAGAGCAAACAGACGAGCTAGTAGCTCGGAGCTACAGAATTACGTTAATGGCAGTGCCATGGAAGTATGTATCTCCCAAGACGGGATGGGGGAGGGGCAGAAACGTGAGAGCCAATCAGATTGTGAGGTCATTTCCAGGAAGGCCTCCAAGGTAAAAGCTGAGCGTTGGACTCCAACTCTGGGAGAGCCGGTCTTGGTTATCCGCCAAAGGGCTAAGAAATCTGATGTTGGCAGTACCCTAGCGCATATTGATGCTTTACTTGGGGGTGAGAGAGCTTTGGTGGTCTTCCCTAGCGGCAGAAAGCAGGTTGAGTCGTTCGGGAATTTATGCCCTTTCATGAATATTCAGTCGAGCTTGAACGAGGTCAATGGTCCGTCTAAGGTCCGAGCAAGGATACAGATCTCCATTCTGGATACTACTGGAGACCGAGATTGGTATGATAGGACTATTCGAAAAGACGCATCGGTTTATATACCGTTGTTATACCGTTATTATATACCGTTGTTACATACCGTTGTTATATACCGTTGTTACATACCGTTGTTATATACCGTTTTTTTCTCGTTGTTTCGTCACGCGGGATGATGGTAGTCCTCCGAAATGGCTTGACTCATTTAAAGAAGATTAAAGAAGATTGGTCCAACAATGCTAGACCTCCTGAACCTGCAGTACATCCCCGACGGTCTCGTAGAAGTTGAATGTAGTCTCACCGGCACTGCCTAATCTATTCGCATAAGAATATGCGGGGAGGGGGGGGGCGTGTAGAGAGACACAGTCCCTGGGACAGCAGTACACGAAGGCTTAGCGCGGTGGATCCGCGCTTAGCTAGCTATAGCCTGGGGATAGCATAGAGAGTTAAGATCATATTTTCCTTTACCATTCTTGAAGTCTTATGGTTGGTAATACTGAGTCTACGGCTGATGGAGTCGGGGAGTCTCAAACCAGTGAACATTGTGAACTTGGGGTGAATCACCCCGGGTGATCAATTATTTCAGTTGGTCCAAGTCGGACCGTTCAACCCAAAACGCTATTTAGCGTTTCGGGTGGGCTAGTATCGAGAAAGATCTGTCGATTGCTTCGTGAATCACAT